CTGCCCCGCTGCAACCCCTGCCCCCTCCCGGCTGACACAATGATTCTCGGCCCACCCTGCACCCATCCGCTCCAAGAAACAAAAAAATGTTTCATGCCTTCTGGAACGGCAAGCTGTTTGATTCCTGCACCACGGTCAGCGGGTTGGGAGGAGCGGCGTTGCCTGCCTGACACAGGCAGAGAAACCCTGAACAAGACAACGAAAATCATAGGCGGCAGACATGGGTGGGTGCGTGCCATGGGCGGCTGGGAATTTAACAGATGTACGCAGGTGCGTTGCGCGCGCATCGAATTCTCGCCAGCCCTTGCTAGCAAACATTGTTTGCCATACCCCTTTTGGGGGGCCCCTCTAAATCACAGTTCATATAATGTGTAGAAGAATAATACTATGATATAATATGGTATTGTATGATGTATTCATAGCCATTTACATACATGAATACATACATGCATACATACATAGATACACACATAGATACAAAGACTTGCTTGCCCACATGCCCACATACATACGTACATGTATGTAGTAGGTATATATGCATGTGTATATATATATATATATGTGTGTACATGTACATGTGCATATGACAGCACTGGTTACTGCACAGCAAGCACCGTGCATGCATGAGGCAAATATAGTACGCTGTCGGCCGACACGAAGGGCCACTCCAGCTGGTTCTTGACGAGAACCAATAAGGAGAAGTGCTGACTTCATTTCCTGACCGCTTTTCTGCTTCGGCTTGGGTCGCAGGGTGTACTTGATGCTAGTGGAGGCCCCAAGAAATGGACAAGTTGCCTAAGTCCTGACGTTTTTCCCGAAGGCCCGCCACAGCCAAGATGAGACACATCCTGGCGAAATCTTTACTCCAAGGTAGGCTTTGTACTTTGTGGACCAACATCTGCTTGAAGATGCGAACACTTTCCCGAATGAAGATGGTCTAAACTGCCCTAAACCCAAGCAAATTCTGACGTGCGTCGCTTCCGACATCAAAGCCTTCGTCCACGTTCAGGAGCATGAAGCCACGATGGAGCATCCCTTCATGAGGACTGCTTTCACACGTAGCTTTCCTAGGCTCCTGAGTGGTACCCTTTTGCCCGCTTTCTTTTTGGATGGCCGTCACCTTAACGTGTAATTTGGGTGGGTGACAATGATTGCAACCAGCAGCAACTCCATACGCATCGCGATAAACAGCTTTGATACCTAAAAGCAAGAACATCAAGACCAATCACCATCATCACGAGAAATACGTACGCCCTAAATGGTCCTAAAAACGCTCATTGCAGCAACGACCATGCAAATCACGTGCCGAAGCATCCGGAAGCTCCTGAGCAGAGGTCATAGGGAGTGTATTACCCAAAGGGTCCTATGTACTGTTATGGGGGATACTTCCCTAAGTCATAATAGTAATTCCTAATATGGAAACCCTAAAGTCTACTATATCGGTACATGGGACCCTTTGGGTTAGGGAGCGTACAGTATTCGGGTTCAGGGTTTTAGGGTTTGGGGTGGTCCTCAGGACTAACTTTTTGATGTTTGTTTTGGTCTATGATAGCCCAATTTGAGGGTTTATGGCCGACGTTTGTTCCAACTTGCGTCTAGCTGGTGGAGCAGGAGCCCTTACAAAACAAAAATGGCACTTAAGAGTCAAGCTCTGCAAGCCCCAAGGCCCCAGCCACAAGAACTTTCTGGCCGTTGGCCACTGATGCCGCGCAAAGCCTGAATCCTGGAAAAGCTTTCACCGCTTCGGATTCAAAGGACCATCTATGCGGAGAACTTTGACAAGGAGGTCCGGGTGCATACAGGATTTGTGTGGCCTTTCGATGAGTTTCGGAGATGTTGGGTGATGGGGCATTTCAGGCGGCTGTCCGTAAGTACAGGGAGGCTAGCTTTCTCATTCTGCCCGGTGCTTGTTTGTATAGCCAAGTCATACATGGTCATGGCAGCTAGCCTGGTAATGCTTCCAATCAGAAGAGCCTTGACTCAGGCTCCAAATGTACAATTCTCTACAGACTCTCCACACCAAACTTCCGAAAAAGCCCTCAACCCTGTGACCTCTGAACAGAAGCCTACCGTCCCAGAAGGCCTGCCACATTTCGCGAGCCCTTAGAAACAGTCAGAAGCCTTCAATAAACCTGCAAGTTTTAAGAATATAGCCCCCCGCGACCCTATGCACGCTAAACCATGAGAGATCCCAAGATAAAGTCCTCTCTAGACCCCAGGCCCTAAACCCTTCCCCACCGGAACTCCTCGACTTTTGGAAGGCATATTGCCAGTATTTGGCGGGCCAATACCACGTGTTCAAGGCTTTGGAGGCACAGGGGAGCCATGCGTCATGACGATCTCCCAGCTTCGGGTGTAAGATTAGAGCCATTTAGGGTCTGTGCTGTTCACAAGATCCTTCGCGTCAAGTGCTGCATTCGCACGTGGCCCAGCCTGCGCCAGACCCCAAGATTCAGTGCGTTGTGCCTCCAGCCCTCGTGTTTGCGTGTAGCAGCCGACGGGCCGTTAGCAGCTCAGTCTCCTCTGCGACCTCCGCGGCTCGAGGAAAGGAGCTATCCCCGTGCTCAGCTCGTGCATCTCCTCCAGACCGGCAGCATGGCTACCGAGACGCTGAAGATCAGCGATGGCACCACCATGGAGATCTGCAGACTCCCAGACGTGGATGACGAAACATGGGCGGAGGTTCGTGCCTACGTCGAAGGCAACCCAGAGACCGCAAAGTCCCTGAAGAGCTTTGCAAAGAATCCGGACGCCATGAGAGGTTGGCTGCAGACCCAAGCCATCGCGGAGCACTACAGCAACAAGATGGCCAGTGGCGACACGCCCGTCCAGGACAAGGTCAAGTCTTTGGAGAAAGACCCCGAGTTGGCCTCCATCTTCGAAGACATCAAGAAGAATGGCATGGAAGCCGTCATGAAGTACTACCAAGACGAAGACCTCATGTTAAAAATCAGCCAAAAGATGGGTGGCTTGCCTTCCGAGCTTCAGCCGGTTCTTCAGAAGATTGAAGACACCTCGCTGACCCTCCACGAGGCAGCCAAGAAAGGGGATCTCGCAGCCGTCCAGCAGTTCTTGGACAAGAACAAGCCCCTCGATGCGCAGGACTTCAAGGGGATCACTCCGCTGGGCTATGCCATTGGTGCCAACCGCTCCCTGGCTCAAACAGAATCTCGTGCCGACGACTGACCGGTGGTGTATTGGCTGACGTCACAGCCTGTCGGCTTTTGCCGTCCGCCTGTCGTGTTGCTTTTGAATTGCACGGGTTCATCATGCTTCATAGGCTTGCTGCGGCTTGCCTGTTGTTCCTTGAGATTTCCCCAGGCATCGCCGTGGTGAAGAAGCTCTTGGACAGCAGGGCAAACCCATATGCTGCTTGTCCTGAACCCTATACTCTTGTACCCCCTGCTCCAAGGCTACGGCTACGTCCCATCTTGACCTGACAAGAAGTCCCGAAACCAGTCCCAACAGTGCGAACACCACCGTCGGCTGATCCAATCCCAGTAAGTTCCGCCAATCCCTGGCTTTGGAGAACCATGGAAAGTCTTCGATCTAAAAAACCCTCGCAATCTCCACGCAAGATCTCCACACGCTATTCGAAGTGTTGAGTCTGCTCTGATTATATGAGTCAAAGTTATGGGGCCCAAAGTCAACTGAGGCTGTGGACAGCTCCGGTAACTCCGGGCTTCACTACGCCGCCGGTTACGGCAGAAGGGAGCTGGTCGAGTACCTCCTGAAGGTAGGGTTCTTGCAGGGTAGCTTATGTGTGTGGTTTTCGTAGGGGTTTGGAAGTGGTGTTAGGGTTTAGGGTGCTGGGCTCTTGGCTTTGTAGAAGTTGTATGGGACGGTGAACCGCCGTCCAAGTATCCGGTGTTGTCTGCGACGGCTTCTATGTCAATGTACGTGTGTCATGCATGCTGATTTAGATTGTTAATTGCCAGCGCAAGGTTGTGCGATGACAGCCTTTGCCAGGGTTAGGCTGGCATGGCCAGGGTTGCATCTGTGGGTCAAAACTTCTCTTGTTGGATGATATTGTCTGGAGAGTGATGGCTCTGCTGTGAGTGAATAAACTGCACTTCCTGCGTAGAGGCTATAGCGTAGAGGGCCGGGCCCCGCCTGGACCGAGAACCGAAGCGGGCACTCACATGGCACCAGTCGCCTCAAAATGTGTCGACTGCACGTGGCAATCCTTTAGTGATAGCATCTGGCATCTCTTCTTTGAGCTGGGTTTGTGGTATTTGGATTCCTGTTCCGTTTCATTCTATTGGCACTGTCGAGGTTCCACATCGCCCTCATGTTCAGACGTTCCCTGCGCGCTGTCTTGAAGCTGAGGTCGGGGCCAATGTCAGCCAACCCAACGTGCAGGGCATGACACCACTGGCAGTGGCCACACAGAACAAACAGGAGGCGACCATGCAGATCCTGAAGGCGCACGGAGCACAGTGAGATGTTCCTACTTCCTCTTCTTCGCATTTGCAGCTTCATCGAGTAATTTCTTTTTGAAGCCAGTCGGATCCTGTGACTCAACCTCATTCGCAAGGCGAGTGGAGGAAGCCAGGAATTGACACCCAAAGGCATTGAACCGTGGTGTGTGAATGAGGCTTGGTCCGGGAATCCAGGATTTAATCCACACCGAGTGCCTCAGGAGTGGACCATGACAACCCGGTGCCTGTGCCCAAAGTGCACAGTGCAAAGCACCGCGCCTCCAAAAAACGCTGTGCTGGGAGGGGGACACTAAACCCTGTACCTGAAACCGTGGGCAGCAATGGAAGTCTCTCAGCTTAATCTGTGCTGTTCACAAGATCCTTCGCGTCAAGTGCTGCATTCGCACGTGGCCCAGCCTGCGCCAGACCCCAAGATTCAGTGCGTTGTGCCTCCAGCCCTCGTGTTTGCGTTTAGCAGCCGACGGGCCGTTAGCAGCTCAGTCTCCTCTGCGACCTCCGCGGCTCGAGGAAAGGAGCTATCCCCGTGCTCAGCTCGTGCATCTCCTCCAGACCGGCAGCATGGCTACCGAGACGCTGAAGATCAGCGATGGCACCACCATGGAGATCTGCAGACTCCCAGACGTGGATGACGAAACATGGGCGGAGGTTCGTGCCTACGTCGAAGGCAACCCAGAGACCGCAAAGTCCCTGAAGAGCTTTGCAAAGAATCCGGACGCCATGAGAGGTTGGCTGCAGACCCAAGCCATCGCGGAGCACTACAGCAACAAGATGGCCAGTGGCGACACGCCCGTCCAGGACAAGGTCAAGTCTTTGGAGAAAGACCCCGAGTTGGCCTCCATCTTCGAAGACATCAAGAAGAATGGCATGGAAGCCGTCATGAAGTACTACCAAGACGAAGACCTCATGTTAAAAATCAGCCAAAAGATGGGTGGCTTGCCTTCCGAGCTTCAGCCGGTTCTTCAGAAGATTGAAGACACCTCGCTGACCCTCCACGAGGCAGCCAAGAAAGGGGATCTCGCAGCCGTCCAGCAGTTCTTGGACAAGAACAAGCCCCTCGATGCGCAGGACTTCAAGGGGATCACTCCGCTTGGCTATGCCATTGGTGCCAACCGCTCCCTGGCTCAAATAGAGCCTGAGCTTCTTAAGTTCTTTTAAGCACTCCGGAACTTCCTTGGAGCCCCAGCCGAAGCTGTCCAACCGCTCGAAACGATGACGGATGTATTGGCTGAAGTCAAAGCCGGTCCGCTTCATTGAAAGGGGTTCATTCTGCAATTACGCGTCGTAGGCCAACCTGCTAGGTCACCGATTCCTTGAGATTTCTCATTACCCCAGGCATCGCCGTGGTGAAGAAGCTCTTGGACAGCAGGGCAAACCCATACGCTGCTTGTCCTGAGCCCTATACTCCTGCACCCGTCGCTCCAGTTCTGTTCCTCTACCAGCTGCATCTGCTAACCAGGTAGCTTTACTTGTTCTTCAGAGAAGGGCGTTGGCAAAAGGTTAGCTCTAACGCCTATAGTGCCTATAGAGTTGTATCTGCACTGGAGTTCAAAGTGCTGTGTTACTCAGTGGCGGCAGAACATACAGATCTCCGAGATCTTTGTCCGTGTTAGGTAGACAGTTCGTTGTTGACCTGTTGGCACGAGTGCCCGAAACAAGTCGCACCGGTGCGAACACCAAGCCTTGCAGCGCGATGGCCCAGTAATCCTGGAAGCAAGTTGCGAAAATCTTTATCAGATCTGCCAGTCTCAGGGCTTGCCGTAGCTTCGTCGTGCCTGTTCCGATCCCTCCATACACATATACGCTTTAGGGAAAGTTCAGCCAGTAACGGCTCTGGAGGACTTGAAACTTAACACCACAAACGGCGGCTATAAGCCCCCCGAAGTCTCCACCCCACAAGATCCCAAAGCCCTGATACCCAAAACATCCTCGAACATTACAGTTCCTGGGTCATTATACGATAAGCTACGCGCCAACCCCAGAATTTGGGGAGGATCCAAAAAGTAATGGGGGTAATGGGGGTTCCTATGAAGCACCCTTTGTAATATAGGGCCCCAAATTAGGGGATCTACTTTCTAGATCCTCCCCAAGGTCTGGGACACTGTATTCGAAGCGTTGAGGCCGCTATTGGCCACGATGAGGCCCCAAAGTCAACTGAGGCTGTGGACAGCTCCGGTAACTCCGGGCTTCACTACGCCGCCGGTTACGGCAGAAGGGAGCTGGTCGAGTACCTCCTGAAGGTAGGGTTCTTGCAGGGTACCGGCAACTTGCGGGTGTGGGTTTTGTAGGGGTCTAGAAGGGGTGTTAGGGATTGCATGGCTTTAGGGTTTAGGATGTTGGAGTCATGGTTTCTGGATTGTATAGAATTGCCAACTCTCCAAGCATCGGGTATTACGTGCGACGGCTGCTGTGCACGTGTGTCATGTATGCTGTTTTGGAATGTTAAATGTCAGCACAAGCTTGTGCGATGGCAGCCTTTGCCAGAGTTACGCTGTCGTTCAAAGCTTCGTTGTTGGATGATAGTGTCTGGCCAGTGATGGCTTTGCAGTACCTGAATAAACTCCGCTTCCTGGGTACTAGTAGCTGCTAGAGGGACGGGCCCCGCCTGGACCGAGAACCGAAGCGGGCACTCACATGGCACCAGTCGCCTAACAATGTGTCGACTGCATGTGCCAATCCTTTAGTGTGATAGCATCTGGCATCTCTTCTTTGAGCTGGGTTTGTGGTATTCGGACTCCTGTTCCGTATCATTCTGTTGGCTCTGTCGGGGTTCCACATCGCCCTCATGTTCAGACGTTCCCTGCGCGTGGTCTTGAAGCTGAGGTCGGGGCCAATGTCAGCCAACCCAACGTGCAGGGCATGACACCACTGGCAGTGGCCACACAGAACAAACAGGAGGCGACCATGCAGATCCTGAAGGCGCACGGAGCACAGTGAGATGTTCCTACTTCCTCTTCTTCGCATTTGCAGCTTCATCGAGTAATTTCTTTTTGAAGCCAGTGGGTTCCTGTGACCCAACCTCATTCGCAAGGCGAGTGGAGGAAGCCAGGAATTGACACGCAAAGGCATTGATCCGTGGTGTGTGAATGAGGCTTGGTCCGGGAATCCAGGATTTAATCCACACCGAGTGCCTCAGGAGTGGACCATGACAACCCGGTGCCTGTGCCCAAAGTGCACAGTGCAAAGCACCGCGCCTCAAAAAAGGTGTCTGTCAGGGGAGAGGCATGACACCAATCTAGACCCGAAGCGGTGTTAATTTGCAGGGTCCTGTAGCCCGAAATGTAGGAAAGCCCAGAAATGCCTGCAAATCCGGATGGACAAAATCATCGAATAAGGACAAGGTAGCTCTAATCTAGAGGCACTTCCTTGCTAGTGGGCTCACAGAGACCGGGGCCTGGGATGAGGATGGATTGCTTTAGGTTTAGATGTCATAGTATACTATATCGTATATTATAGTATCTGACAGTATATCATATAGTACATGATAACAGAATATATAGTATACATGGGTTTTAGGTTTCATAGTGAACCCCAGAAAGTTGAAAGGTGGATTAAAGCTGAAGAGTGCTAGGATTCCCTATACGTTATTGTAAGGGTAACTGGGATAATGGTGTTCCAACTTTCTGGCTTCTTCTGTAGGTGGTGTGACGGGCTTCCAGGGTCCAACTTCTGGGCGAAGTCGCTTGCCTGTTGCAAACAAGGTGGTATTTTGAAAGGGTTTCTCAAATCTGAAGGACTCCTGATGTAGGGGTGGTTCGTGGTTGTTCTAGGACCGCACGTGGAAAGCATCGTAATGCTATGCCCACCCCATTGCCTTGAGACATACAGGGGTGCGAGAGGTTCACCGGCACATATTCTGAATCCGGACGACAAAAACAGCATCCATGAGAGCAAGGCATGAAGTGAAACTCCTCGTCAGAAGTCTAGTAGTCTGAGTCTACCTCTCTCGCATACGGATGAACCAACCCCCTGCCAAGCAGGAGCATTCGAAAAGTCAAAGAGCAACAACAACACAGCATCAGTATTCCAGCGGTTCAGAATAGGCATAGCAGCGCCATAGCATCTCAAAGTGCGGCCCCCAATGACTTGCAGGCACACTGCGAGAAGTGCCAGGCGGCGCCCATGTCTGCGGTCATGGACCAGGCACCCTACTTCAAGATTCTCTTGCGTTTCATGACACTCAGAGCTTGAGGCTTAATCTATGTTCGCGTGATGCAGTTCCAAGTTGGGGAAGGTGTAACCGAGCGAGGGAGAGAGAGAGAGAGAGAGAGAGAGAGAGAGAGAGAGAAAGAGAGAGAGAGAGAGAGAGAGAGAGAGAGAGAGAGAGAGAGAGAGAGAGAGAGAGAGAGAGAGAGAGAGAGAGGGAGGGAGGGAGGGAGGGAGGGAGGCAGGGAGAGAGAGATTCCCGCACATCCTAAAACCGAGTTTTGCGATGGACGACAGACTGAGCTCATCGGCCTGAAACGGATTAAACTCGTGACTCCTCATGACAAACCGATTCCGGGCGTAGCGTTTCAGTTCTCGGATCAGTTCGGATGCAGGACTGCATATGCATCATGGTTATTAACGGTTATTATTGTACATTTATCAATGCTATCAAATACTTTTCTTTCTATGACCACCATTGAACCGTTGCCAGTCTCATTGTTCCAATTACATGTAGGCAGTAGTATTGCACGCTTCTTGCGATCATGCGTGTCATTAGCAGATCCACTTAGACCATGCAAGGCCAAGTTTGGAACTCCCAGAAATCGATTCGACCCACGACACGAGGCTCCGTTTTCATGACTGGCGTCATTGTTGTCCGTATTATTGTTGCTACTGCCCTCATGCTGAGCATTAGAGTGCGATCATCGTTTACTGTATAATTGGTCTAGTCTTGTAACCAGTGTTAGTTTGTTGGCAACATTACCACCAACACATTTAAACCTGTTGGTATGTGTTTGATCGTGTTAATCTTCAGTGCTGACATTTCAGAACTAACTCCGTTCACTATGACTTATCACTCTTTGTCTATTTGCTCATGACTGGCGTCATTGTTGTCCGTATTATTGTTGCTACTTCCCTCATGCTGAGCACTAGAGTGCGATCATCGTTTATTGTATAATTGGTCTTAGTCTTGTAACCAGTGTTAGTTTGTTGGCAACATTACGACCATCACATTTAAACCTTTTGGTATGTGTTTGATCTTGTTAATTGTCAGTGCTGACATTTCAACACTAACTCCGTTCACTATGACTTATCAATACTGGTCTATTTGCAGCCGTACTGTCTTGTTTCTTACTCTTAGTAACATCGCTGTGGTCACTGCTCTGTTGTCTTGCTACTGTTGGGATTTGTGTATCGTTGTGACCTTAGTGAAGCCGCTCGCATGCAGGCTCTCTTGCGCACGGAGGCCCTCCGGCTGACACCTCAATCGCGCTGCTGCTTGAGCCATGCGAGACTGCATCCCTTGCCCCGGCCATGTACGAGCATTACAGGAACCTCAATCTCTCGACCCAAACCCTCATCAACAAGCCCAGACCAACATGAAGCTCTGAAGCGAGCTGTAGTTGCTCATCGCAGGCTTTGCGGCAGGACCTGCGCTTCTGGTGCGGAGATGGCTGGGAGGAGCAGGCAGGGCACCGAAGACAGGTCTAGGAAACGGGGCGGGTTTCGGGCCCCGGCGATGGCCGAAGCTTTCACGTAGAAGTAGTCAGAGGAGACCTTGCCCAGTTTGGGTAATAATGCCACCGCCAACCCATTAGATGATTATCCCTATACTCCCCCCTACATTTCACCGATAAATCACTACTACTACCCCATTAGATGATCATTCCTATACTCCCCCCTACACATCACCGATAAATCACTACTACTACCCCCATTAGATGATCATTCCTATACTCCCCCCTACATTTCACCGATATATCACGACTACTACCCCATTATCAATACAATTCTAGGAATAACCATAACCCCATCTATGTTTTCTAAGGTGGCATTATTACTCAAAAGGGGCAAGGCCTCCCTTATAGAATTTGGTTCAGGGTTTAAGGTTCAGGGTTCGGACACGTCGCAGCCAACCTGCCACTGCGTTTCGCGCTGGCTGTCAATACCAAAGATGGCCATTTTACCAAGGCATTCCAAGCAGTTGATTGACATTTCAACAGTTTGTTCATCCCGTGCAGAGTTTTCGCTGACTAGTCCAAATGTGCGGTTTATGCAATGGCGAGGTTTCAACCGGAGGAAGGTGACCGTTTCACCGCCATCTCTGGCACCCCGGGCAGTGAGCGTGGACAGGCTTACGAGGAATTGATAAGAGATCGTCTGGAGACTCAACATGACCCAGATTTGTGCACGGTGAAGTTGCCGGACAGCCTCAATGTTGACGAAAATGCAGCGAACCGGCTGGAAGGCCTTCATCGCCATGTGGTCAAGGTTTCCATTGAGAGCGCGGGGGAGGAGACGTGGCAAAGGGTGACTCGAGGACAACAAAGACAGATGGGACACGATCTTCTTCGCCAGGGCAGCTGTGATCTGGTCGTGACGCAAAGCATAGACATTGTGCAGATGCTGAAGCAACAAGCGCGGCCCCTCTTTGGGGGGCAAACGTGGGAAGCGGCTCCAGACCATCCTGCACTGATCGAGGTCACTTTCTGTTCTGCGCTGATTTGGCTGAAGGTGTACCAACTTGAAAGATTCCTGACGTTGATTTTATGCAGGGGCGAGGTTGCAATCGAAGTTGTCTCAGCAGGTGTGATCATCAATGGTCAGCCCCTCACCTGCCATTGGGCAGAAGGATTGCAAAACTTCCCAGAAACTGGCCCAGTGCGGACGCTTGTGAAAATGGGGAGGTTCCACATAGTGGACATGCCAATGGCGCGAGTAGATGAAGTCGACAGGATCTACGAAAAGCTGGACACCAAGACTCAAGAGCTGGACACCAAGACTCAAGAGCTGGACACCAAGACTCAAGAGCTGGACACCAAGACTCAAGAGCTGGACACCAAGACTCAAGAGCTGGACACCAAGACTCAAGAGCTGACCTCTGCTCGCTCGGAGCTCGTTTTGCGTGGCTGGGTCTCTTGGCTGATAAGCCCAAATTGTTGCCTAAAGCCCCGAACCAGTTGTTGCGGAGTTTCTCGAAGAAACTAGTCGTGGGCCTGATAACGCACTGTCCCTGTCCAAGGTCATTGCTGGATTTGCTTTCCTCGCTGTTCTGAGTGTAGTCATAAACATATGTCTTCTCCTAGCAAGGAGCTCTCCTGGACAGGAGTTGTGAAGAGTTTCACCGATGACAGCTATGTCGCGTATTCGGAGACCTCTGCCCCAGTAGCCCTAAGTTTCAAACCAAAACCCTCCAGAGCCCCGTGACTGAAGGCAGGCTAGCTTTGTCGCGCTGAGCCTAGTTCAATGCCTCGTGGATTGAATTGCGCAGAGAGCCTGAGGTGAGCGTCTAATGGTGTAAAATGCGCTGTGACTTGATCGTGGAAAAATTAATAATTGTCGATTTGTTTCGATGCTAAGTAAATCGCCTAATCTACATGTTGCATGATCTCTTCCGTGGTTGTATTATTACAATCTCTCCAACCAGCCCGGCAAAAATCATAACATTCACGAAAAATATACTTTGCGATGGTTTGATTCTTGATGAGAACATTGTTAAATTTCAGAGTAGCATTTTAATGTCATATTATTTTTTCCTGCTACAGTCTTTGCTGTGCCGCGTAAAACGTGAAATCACACTATACAACAACAGCTCGTGGCAGGCACCAAAGAGCATAAGCCGTTCATTACCGCGGTTATGTCTGACATTCATCAGATTCTTCATCGCTTGTTTCGGAGGAGCATTTGACCGTTTAGTGATATTCTTGTATTTCCTTCTGTCCGCCCTTGTGTCAATATCGTGATTATGAAAGTACAACTGTAAGAACATTCTCTGCACTTTCTTCGCC